CTTCCAATCTCTAACATTCTGTGATACTGATCTAAAGAACATGTAGCTGGATTATTCCAGCCATCATCAATCTCAATTGGTTATTTTAAACACTAAGAATTGTAAAATAAAGTACATGTACTTTCAAAATAAGCCATTTTTGTTTTCTTTCAAAAGAAACTAACTGCTTTCTGCTGTGTGAAAATGTTTGAGCCAATATGAGTCTAACATTCTAAAAGGCATTAATCTTTAGACTGAGGTAAATCCTTGTGATTTTATCTTAAGAATTTGAGAAAATTATCTGCACCACGAAAAGAGACACTAAAATCAAAACACCATTTCTGCCAAACTGTGGGGTTTGTTTTGCTCCTTGCTTTGCTGTGATACTACAATTTCATACCACCATGTAGAGAGTAGTATATGATCTTGCTACTTAATTGGCGTCAGTGGACAGAGTTCTGTGTAAAGACTACTGATAACAATGACTTTCCAATGGCAGCAACAGTAAAAAGGGTTTACTAGAGCATACAAAGCCTGTGCAATACCCACACTCTTGTTTGGGTGTATAATTACTGTGGTTTTGCAGATATATTTCTTTAAGCAAATCAGATATGGACAATAATATATATACCCTTGCATCTGCTTGCTTTGAAGGGGAAAAGTGTGTTGCCTTTTTAATTTTTGTGTCAGGATCCTCTGCAGATACTGATTACTCACGTTCAGAGGTAGAGTGATGGAAGGAGCAAATGTTATCTCTGTAAAATATTAAAAATCTCTTATCGTTCTAGCAAGCCTGCTTTGGCAAAGGGGTCTCTCTCTGGACCGTTCTGCCTGGGATGTGGATTCTGAGCTTGCAAGTGAACTTTATGAAAGGTGGCAAAGAATAAGACATGGGGAAGCCTGCAGGTCTGTACAGAATCTGTTAGAAGTTCTTAATTCAAGCCAGTACAGCATTGTAAGAAAGGGTATTTCTGTTCTGAAGTATTCTTCTTAATTAGGATAAATACCTAAGTTGGTTATCTTGGAGCGTCTGAAGGTTTAGAGCACCCCAGACATGCCCAGCTTCCATTTCAGATGCTTGAACTTTAGACTGTGAATAATGTTCTGACTATAATAACCTCATTACAGCTGCCCAGTCAAAAAATAAAAACTGAAAGCAGTAAAAGCATGTTTTACCGGGTCATTAATGTAATTGCATGAGTCCTTCATCAACAGGTTGCATAACAATCTTTTTAGGATCAGGGTCTTTTAATAGCTTTTAAAGTTTCTGGTCCCTGTTCTAATGGATACTGTGTATTGGGGACATGGAGAAGGAAGCACTCACTATAACTAGCAGTTCTTGTATTGATGACATCCGTCACGTCAGCCCCTTTCCTGAGTGAGTAGGTAGAGCTGTGAAAACCCACAGTCACGTTGCAGGTGGAAGAGTGGAGACTGAAAGGATGCACATAAGTTACACTGGCTCTCTTCTACTAGGTTACAACTTGATGGGCTTTATTTTGTGAGGAACATTTTCAAGGAGAGATCAGTTGATGTAATTATAGGTCCTAGCAAATCATCATTTTTTTTGGCCTTTGTTTGAAAAAAATAAAATAAATTTAACAAAGCTTTCTGGTTTTGCCAATAAAACAGGAGAAGAATTTTAGGATCATCTCGCTTTATTCACCAGAAGAAGCCTGAAGAGGAGTCCTTTGCTTTTTTCTTGCCACGGTTGACTACAGAACCTGGCCTTACACTCAACTTCAGTGCCACAGCAGTTAAAAGTAGTGTGGTGAGGATGGTTGTTATGCTTTTTCTGACTTGATGTCTGTTTAGCTTGTTAAAATAACAAAGTCTGTGGTTAATATTTGGTGGTGCTTAGCATGTTCATACTTCTTGTAGGTCAGTATTTTGAAGTCTAATTTAAGATACCGGGTTTGTATCCCTTTGGCTCTTTGATAAGTCTTTTAGCTATCTGGTTGTAATATTTTAATACAAGGAGAGGAGGAGAGTAGTGTAGGTCTTAACTAACAATTGTTCGTGGTTGTTAAAGCTTTCCTTGCATCATTGGATAAATTACATGCTTGTGGTAAAATACTTGAACAGGGGATTTAGGGATAGGATGTGCTGTCATAAATGATGCATGTGGTTATGGGATGGCCTTCCTCATGCCACTACCTTATATGTAACAGAAGTGTGTACGGCATTTGTGTGAGATACAACACTTGAGAGATCAGCAGAGCAATGTGTCTTCCAACCACACTGACTGATTTCTTTCTTGTTTGTCAGATTTTGGTCACTACTAACCTAGCCTGGGCCAGAACCAGTCATATGGAGATAATTTTCATATGCACATATTGTGAATTACCTTAATATTCCATTTGCGCTATTTGATTGTCAATCATTATAGTAAATGTGTGTAACCTGCTTGCAATCAGACTTCTGTAAGAAAGGGTGGCACATCACTAATTTCGCCTTCTGTGGAAGAGCTTAGTTCATGTCTGCTTGTGTAAATCAAAATCCAAATGAAAGGCTTGTTTGGGGGAGTGGGAGAGGTCTGTATTTTTGCATATGTGGCTCTTCATGCCCTCTTAGCTGTTTTTGGAAGTGGTGACATGTCCTGTTGTTCCGTGCAATTTTGTGCACATATGATTATATCGCATTAAGACAGAAGCCAGGTTGAAGTTCCTTAAAAATGCAGATCATGTTACCAGTGCTGAATTATTTTACCTTCCAGTTCTCAAGTATGTAGTTTTTAACTTCTTCTTTTCCCCTCCAAACTATTTAGGTAAAGTATTTCGTACTAAGAAACCCTTCATCCTTCCCAGTTACGTTGCAGCTTCTGCCTCTTTCTTACTACCCTGATCCCCAAGCTTCACTGAGTCTGCTCAAAAAATGGTAATGAGTACAACTATCTCAGGATACTGTTTTCCCTTTTAAAATATGTATTTGCCATGCCTTACAATTGTTGCTTATTGTTTGTTTCAGTTTTTCAAAGTGTAACTTAAATGAGGGCAATCTTCTGACCCATTTTGGAAGATAAAGTCATGTTCAGAGCAGCTCCGTGTAGGATACAAGACATTGTAATGTACCTGATAGTTGATAAAACCAAATTGAGCGTGTTTTCAGCAAACTTATGTCTGCCAGCCATAAACTATAATTGGTCATTTTCTGAGATCTGAGCTTTAGTGCCAACTTGTTCAAGCAGCCCAGGTGAGGGGAGCAACTTGCAGAATTGGGGTTGTGCATCTCCCTGAAAGGCTGGTTGGGAAGTATCCAGAGTCTGTAGAGTGATCAGTGAGGAGGAAGGTAACTGAACCTTCCCAGGAGAAAAAGTTTTCTTAGCTTTTTCTTAGGTAAAAACCCTGGTTGAAGAAGAGGAAATGAGAGCCAGGAAGAAAAATTCAGGTTCAGAGCCAGGAACCCCATTATAAATGTTTAGGTCCAGCTAAGCAAATATGTCTGCATTGTTTTGAACTTTCTGTTGGGAACTGAGAAGATATAATGACAAATCTAGATAAGAGTGAGATTAACAATATGAAGGGGCTTGATGAGTGGGCTGAAGTTCACCAAAATAAGCACTGGCTGTCACATGTACTTTGAAAAACTGTGTAGTTGGTAGGAGTTATTTGCTAGGTTGGAGCCAGTGGGACTACCCATGCGCTTAATTGCAACTTACCTGGGGTCCAAATCCCTGTGTAACTGCTTCCTTAACCTCATTTCTGTACATACGTTCGTGTATGTGCATATATATGTGTGTGCGTGTGTGTATATATATATATGCACAATAATAACTACATCTGTTTGCATACTAAATTTAATTTCCACATGGACTCTTCCTTGAAATGACATATTCTCTGTATTTGCGCACTTTTGTTTCTGCAGATCTTTTAGGTTTACCAGAAATCACATCCACTAGCTGGTTCTTTTTAAGCTAATGTCACGGAAAGTTTTGACAAGTGAATTTCCAGTTCAGTGGGTGGAGGTCCATTAATCCTCTATAATCTGAATTTTACCTATTGGTTTTCTTATGTCTGTTTTTAATACCTTAATGTCAAATTCTTATAGTTTGCTCTCGGGCAAATAATCAACTGCTGTAAGTGAATTTGATTTGCAAAGTATGTGAAAGAAGATAGGAATTTTTCCCAAACAAATCATGAACAGAAGGAGGGATATTTGAGCAAATTTATTAGATTTGATTATTTCTTATGTGGGCAAAGGAAGCTTTGGGGCATTTGTGTTTGTGTGGCTTAGAAATTGTATTTCTCGATTGTGATCTTTTGCAGTATTGTATGCTGAGAGATCTAAAATGCTCAGCCATTTATCTGTTTTTCAAATGTGTGTAATTCACATAAAACTGATGTGTAGTATATTCTGTTGAAATGCAGACCCGCATTTCCACTGTATTTCACATCTGCCAAAATGCAATTGTAAAATTTATTTAAATTGTAAAATTTATTTAAGAATAAATGCCAGCATGTAAAAATAAGTTAACGTAGCTCTGACAGACTAGGTTTGAAGTGCTTAATTTTTTGTTTTGGTTTATTTAGGTTTGGCATAGATGTACAAGCAATTAATTTCACAACCACTGAATTCAGGCTCATGGATGAATGTTCTCTCAGGGTAAGATGGCTAATTTTGATAGAAGAAGTGGTCTGACACACTAGAAAAAGCTTTTTCTAGCTATACTGCATCTGAGTTGTTCCCAAGTGCTATTTAAAGCAATTTAATAGTGTTTTCTTGATTCTCTGTCAGGCTTGTATCTTTGTAGTCAGTTTTTTTTCAGAGTTTCAGTCTGTTTTGAAAACAACTAGATGGAGGGAGTGCCTGCATGCCCACATGTGTTGAAGAGGCCACTGTTTGCATTCTGTGTTGGGACTTACATTTAGCCCTTGGTGGACTATGAAGTGTCAGGCTTTTGTTTCAGTGATGTCAGAAGCTAAGTGATAATCTTTTCAGTAGAGGGAAATACTCTGCAATAGTTCAAGGGAGGAGAGGGCTGGATTCCGACACTTCACCTCAGTCTCATTATCTGACAACCAGAGTACGGTCCAGGGTACCCGGAGAATTTCTTCTTAAACTTCTAGTTTATGCAGAAGCCTGGAATTGACGTATTCTCCTTGCTGTTTGGGCATGCTGCAGCTACATCTTTAATGTCCTATGTAGATACATGTTTCTGCACATATGCTTTAAACCTTTAATGAAACATAGGTACGTTAGTAACTTATTGAAAGGAAAGACTACGTTTGCTAAACTAATCAAAGCTGACCTTTCTTTTTTGGCAACGGTTGTAATAGTTGTTGTAAAAGTGAAGAGACAGCAATTCATAAATCCTAGCCTGTAGGCACACGCTGAAAAAGAGAAGGTAGTTCCACTAGTACATGGGTAGGCCTGAGTTTCCCCAGTCCAATGCACCATACTTGTGACAAAATGGAAAAATAGCAGTAGGCCTTTACATCAGTATGTGTACTATCTGTTTTTCATTAGAGACTTGAAGAGCTAGAGAGGACATGTATGGTTAATAGGTATTCAGCATGTATAAGACAGACCTTGGATTGTTAACCAAATCACTAGTTAATATTTAAATTTTTTAATTTGTCATTGTTTCCCTGGTCACTTTATATACATGTGTAATGAATGTTAGGCTCATATTTGAGTGCATGTGTATCTTTGTTTGTATGGAGTGACAGGGTGAAGTTTGCAAATGCCATATGTGGTTTGCTTTTAATAAATACAGACTGTTAAATGCAGGTTCTGAAACTTTTTTGTGTGTTCTTTTTTTGTAGAATAGAGTAAGAATAAAAACATTTTGGACTGGAAAAGATCAGAAAAGCCATTAGTACAGCAGCCATGAATTGAAAAACCACAAAGCCAAGTGCCCATTTTGTAATGTTTATGGTTGTTTTGACTGCTATAGGTGTCTGATCACCCCTTTCTAAGAGGAGACCCCCAGTTCTGGAATAGAATATTTAAGGCTATTTTCCTTCTTTTTATGAGAAAAAGAATGAACAGCAATATAAAAAAAAAAAAAAAAAACAACAAAAAAATTACATTCTTTCCAGACTCTGTGAACTTCTGGTAGTTCTGGTCTTCAGTTAACATGATATGGCTTGTTTCCAGTGACTCAAATGATCAACATATTTGCCAGCAGTCCCTTTCTCACTTAAGTTGCAGGTCTTACGCTGAGGGTATAATGGTTGCCACATTTCCCTGTGCAATCAGTATACTGTCAGTTCTTGTTGTGTTGTGAAGTGTTTCAGGATTTCTTGAACATGAAAGATGCTATATAATTTCTTTTCCATCTGAGCAAATAAAAGTGTTTTAAAAAATGAAGTAATACATTCCTCATGATAATAGGTGCAGTAATATGAACTTTTGCTCAAATAAACAACCTTATCTGATGTTTTATGTTGTCAAATTGAAAGACTTTTGTATAACAAGTTAGTTAGCAGTTATTGTACCTTGCCAAAAATGTCTTATGTGATGTTATGTGAAGGTGGAGTGCTTGCTTTATTGAGATCTTTAAACACATGTTTTCTGTGAATAAAAAGTGCATTTTTGTTTAACAGAATGTCCATCAAGAGGATCTCATCAACAAAAAATGCAGTTCTGAGCTGCTTTGGTTAAGTTTGCAGCCACTGGAAACCAGAAAAGTTGGTGTAATTTTTACACCAGTTGACTACAAAAGAGTAGCTTCCCTTATTTTAATCAGGTAAGCCAGGTTTCCGTTGTGTGAATCGAACAGCTCAATGTAAAAATTAATTTAACAAATCTTGGAGCAAAGAAAAATGTTTAAAATCTCAAAGTCTGAATACCTCCAGTTTAATAAAAATTGCTTCAAGGGTCTTTGTGCCTTATGTCTCGGTGACTGAAAAATAGAGCCTTTTTTTTGTTGATATGTGATCAGTGGGTTATAAAATGCACATGAATGTACTGGCACAATTTTGAGTTAAGACAGCAACACTTTTTTGGTGGCTTTGCTATTTTCAGCTTAACTCCATAATGATGGGATTTAAGTATCCAGGGAGTCTAATGTGCAGCTGCACACTGGTTATGCCTGGAGGAAAAGAGAGTTCATGGAAGAAGCAACCATTTGTGCTAGGTGGCATTTTTGTTATCCGGTGGCAGTGATCACAAGGCGTGTTCCTTCACTGTGTGAAGGTCACTGGTGATTGGTTCCGGAGTGATCCTGTCTGTATTTAGGGGAAACCTATCCGTGTGAGGCCGGTGATTCTGTTACTGAAATACTGTTGTCTTGAATTGGCACCTGGATAGCAAAGCCATGATTTTGCAAACTTCGTTTGTGTTTCAGTGGCTGATTGCTTGATTTTTATATTATGGCAGAAACAACTTGACTGTTTTGGACATGGTCCATGTAGAAGGCTTTGGAGCCAAAGAATTGCTTAAAGTAGGGGGAAGACTACCTGGTGCAGGAGGATCTCTTCGATTCAAAGTGCCAGAAGCTACATTAATGGACTGCAGACGACGTGAGTAAGAGGAAACAGGTCTCTGATTTTGTAGATGACTGTGATACTCCGTAGTGGTACTGATACAGTGCAGTAATGTTAGAGCAAACAGAATGTTGAAATAGAAAAAGCTGAAGAGCTTGGTCAGGAGAGGTGTAGATTCACCTGGAGTACTGTGTTCAGATGTGGGGCCCCCAGCATAAAAAAGACCTGGACCTGTTGGAGAGAGGAGGAGAGGGCCAGAGGAGAGCTTCGAAGATGGTCAGAGGGCTGGAGCACCTCCTCTATGAGGACAGGCTGAGAGAGTTGGGGTTGTTCAGCCTGGAGAAGACAAGGCTCCGAGGAGACCTAATAGCAGCCTTCTAGTACCTGAAGGGGGCCTACAGGAGAGATGGGGAGGCACTCTTTATCAGGGAGTGTAGTGACAGGACAAGGGGTAGTGGGGATAAGCTGAAAGAGGGTAGATTTAGACTAGACATTAGGAAGAAATTTTTCACCGTGACGGTGGTGAAGCACTGGAACAGGTTGCCCAGAGAAGCTGTGGATGCCCCATCCCTGGAGGTGTTCAAGGCCAGGCTGGATGAGGCTTAGAGCAGCCTGGGCTAGTGGAGGGTGTCTCTGCCCATGGCAGGGGGGTTGGAACTTGATGATCTTTAAGGTCCTTTCCAACCCAAACCATTCTGTGATTCTGTGATTCTGTTTTCTCAAAACACTGAGGATAATTAAAAATCCTAGAAATACACTACTGCAAAACAGTCTGTGTTAAAATGTTGGTCACTTCTGTATTTTTTGTTCGAATGGAAGTAAAACCAGCAATTTATTTATAAACATAAGAAAATGGTTTTTAAGCACTGTAAAACAATTATTCTTTTTTTTCCCTTTTAGAACTGAAAGACAGCAAACAAATTCTATCCATTACGAAGAACTTCAAAGTAGAGAATATTGGTCCTCTTCCTATAACAATTTCGTCAATGAAAATCAATGGTTACAGTTGCCAAGGATATGGATTTGAAGTGTTAGACTGTCAGGAATTTTTCCTTGCTCAGAACTCATCACGAGAGATCAGCATTGTGTAAGCACTGAAAAATTTGCTGACAGATTAACTTAAGTGGAAATTTGAAATAATTAATTTCAGTAACAGACATTCCTGTAGCACAATCACACACAAAATTTGGTGAGCTTTGAATATAAATATCATAGTTATTTCCCCTTTTCAGTAAGGGTAATGTTAACAAGTTGATGATATGTTTCTTTATAAGACTCCATTATTTTTTAAAAAGCAGCATACATGCTTTTATCCATGCATTATGAAGTAATAAATTAAACCAAAGAGTTGTCACAATAGAAGAGTAAGAAATGCTCGTTAAAATCGTTATTCTGTAGCTTGTTCCAGGTAGCCTGACCACAATCTAGTCATGTTTTCCTAACATTGCACATAGTCTAAAACTGATTCTTTTTAAAATCCTGTTGAGTGAAAGTCGTGACTTAAACATAAGTAGAGTTAATATCACTGTATTACAGTAACTGCGGTTTCCTATGCAATAAGTATCACCTCTACTAATTGGAAAGGCAAGTCATGCCTTCTAACAGTAGCCATGACAGTCAAACAGAATAATGGTATGGGTCAGGGAAATAAGTGGAAGAAGAGAAAAATCTGATATTGTCTTCTGCTTTCCCTATCTTTTGAGCCTTGTTCTAGACTAACCGTAGTACCTGGCACTTTCTGACCTAATGCTGCCTGTACACTTGACAACTGTGGTTAAAAAAAAAAAAAGAAAAAAAAGAGTGTTTTGGTTAACATGAGTTGATCATGTGCCCCTTCTTGAGAAAAGGAAGATGAGTCACAGTAACGAGAGTATTGTGAAGAATCACAATAAGAACCTATATTTTACTGCTTGAAGAGGACCTCAAAGTCTTACCTCTGTTAGGTGCTAATGCCGCCTGCATAGTCTAAGCAGATAGTGGTCACTTAATTGATTGTCTTTTTTTCCATATTATTATATCAGAAGTTATTTTGTATTTTTTTGGTATCAGTCTGACTTCAGAAAATCAAATTCAGCCCAACAATGGTAAAAAATAACACCAGTTTTGTCGTCTTTTCCTGACAGATTCACTCCTGACTTTACATCTTCATGGGTAATCCGTGAGCTTACACTGGTGACTGCTGCTGATTTGGAGTTCCACTTCACGCTCAATGTGACTCTTCCACACCATCTGTTACCGCTGTGTGCAGATGTGGTGCCAGGACCCAGCTGGGAAGAGTCTTTCTGGAGGCTCACTGTCCTCTTTGTAAGGTAATGCTTTCAAGGCCTCTGGACCAGTTTGAAAGGGAAGCGACCACTGAAAGATCAGCAAGTGTTTTTGCCTTGTGTTAGATTTTTAGGGGTAATAGGGCCAAAATCTCTGCTGCATCTGTCTCCCAAGGGCTGTGACAGCTTAGGTTTGATGTAGTAGCTGGTGACGAAGTCGTCAAGCATTTCTTTCCTGCTCCTCCTGATAAACTTCCATGTTAAGGGTGCAGAGAAAAAGAGCTAGGACACCCACACAGGAATACCCAGTGGATACTCCCCTTGCTAGAAAACTTACTGCCCCTCCAGTAGTGACACACATGTAACATGTTAGTATCTGAATGTCATAAATAGAATCAAGTGGACTGGTAGATTATCTTTAAGCATTTCTGGACAATTAACATGAATTTTATTTATAAAGTTTCAGGCAACCAATTGAAGACCTTCTTTTCCTTCTGCTTCTTTCCTCCTTTCGCTTGTTAAAAAATATTCTTGTTTATTGTTACCTTTTGGTAGGCAGACTGCTAAACAGGCTACCCCAGAAAGATGATTTGGCTTGTGTTAGCTGACTCATTGCACATGTTAAACTTCTTTTAAGAGGACTGTACCTTTATACAGCAATTAAGGGTTCTGCTCCTACACATGTTCTTTTTTTGTCTTTACTAACCTTTCTCACTGTGTAGTGTGAACTGAAAGTTGTGTTTGTCACAGATGATGTCTGGTGCTTTCATCACACCAACTCTGAATTCCTACAGTCAGTACTAACAAGCAGTGAATGTGACTGTCGTGGTGATACATACATGTGCCGGTGCATACCTAACCAAGATCCTGATGCATGCTGTGGTTCTGCTTGCATTGTTGTTTTGACACTGAAAACAGAGCACAAATGAAGCAACAATAATGACCATGTTACATGGTTCTAGATGCAACAGAAAGGAGACTACAGGGATCTGAAGAGTCAGGAATTTCTCATTCTGTTTTCCCCTCTGATAAAATTTATACTGCATGATTGAGAAGGTGGTTTGATGAATTATAAAAATTTTTGTTCTGATCAGTTTATATTTGGTGCAATTAATACTCCAGAGAGAAAGAGAGGATGTTTTGCAGCTTCAGTTTTATTTCAGAAGTATCGTGGCATTTGTAGCCCATTTAATGCCAGCATTTTCTGTATGAAAAGAAAGTATTAAATAAATATCAAAATAATGACGTGACTATCATGAATGACTAAAAGGTACTCTGAAGACTGATAGGTGTCATACTATGATATATTTCCATTGTGTTGTAGTGAGACTTCTGATGTTCAAATCAAGTATTAGCTTTTTTATAAAGGATTTTTTCTTTGTTAGACTTTTTTCTTTCTAAAGCTCATGGCTGAGTTTTTTTATTGAGATAATAACTAATAAGGGCTATAAGGAAAAAGGAAAAGACCGTCACAACTGTTATTTTAAACTGTATTCTGAGTTTTCTCATCTGTCTTCTTACTTAGAATTTACTAACAAAATGTTTGAAAAGTTTATCTTGTTAGAAGCTTTTTAACTTTTTCACTGAGTACGACTGAAAACTGTAGACACCAGAATCTGTTGTTTTCTTTGGCAGCTTGTCCCTGCTCGGAGTGATTCTGATAGCCTTCCAGCAAGCTCAGTATATTCTAGCAGAGTTCATGAAATCAAGACAGAGGCCAAATCTTAGTTCTTCACCACAGCAGAACAGCAACTCTGTTGATGTAATTAGCTCTGATTCCTACAAGTAAGAATACTTTTTTCTTGTTTTGAATTGTCTTTTTTTGTACCCTGTTTATTGTAGAGTGATGCTTCTGTTTGTATCTTGATACTGCTGTGTGCTGGTTTAGAGTTCCAGGCAACCTCTTTCGGAGAGCTTTCGGTGTTGTGGTGTATATTCATCTCCACAAAAGAGAAATGGAAGAACTCGAGGGTTTATTAATCTTGTACATTGTCAGTAGTACATAGGGTAAAAATCGTGTGATGGAAGTAAGGGATACACCATGTGCAGCAGCCATGGAAAGAATGGAAAATAAATTAATGGTCCTCAAATCTGACCCTCTTGAGTGGCCAGTTAGGCACTTACTCACTGAAGCATATAAGTGTGTTTGAAGTCTGAGCACATACTTAGAGTCTTGCTAAACTCCCAGTGAAATCAGAATGTGCTTAGCTGGTATGATAAGTTAAAGACCTAATGCAGTTTCATGGCTTGTGAATATGCCCCCCTTTCTTTTCTTACAAAAATATCCCATAAAGCAATTCATGATAGCTTTGTAGATGAAAACAAATCTCAAATATTTTTTTTTCTCCAGGGGAAGCTGCAAGACATATATGGATTCCTATAGTTCCTCAGATAAAGGTAAAGGGAAGGGCTTCCTGTCTGTGGGCACTTCTTCCAGCCGAAGTCAGAATGCAGCAAAGAGAAGTCCTGCAACTTACAGTCACTCTCAGAAGAAACACAAATGTTCAGTTTACTACAGTAAGCAGAAACCCAACACAGCAGCTGGCAGTGCCATTGCAACTACTGATGAGAAACAGAATCAAGTGGAGGAGAACCAGATCTCAGCACCAAAAGAGGACATTTGCACTGATGTTGTCAGCGAGAACTGGGTAACTCTAAAATATGCAAATGGAATAAATGTTAACAAGAATTTAACTCTTCCAGAAAACTTTCTGGTTAAAGAAGAAAGTGCACTGAAAAATACAGTTCTCATTAAAAATACTTCTTCAGAATGTGATCTGAAGGAAGATCTTCAAACATGTATGTTTCCTAAGGAAACTAACCTTAAAACTTCAGAAAATCTAGTTGAGCTCAAAGAACAGGAGTTCTGTCCTGTGAAGATGTCTAAGAAGCTACCTGAAAGTCACTTGTCCAGAAATTCACCTCAGCAACAGCCAGAACTGCAAGAAATTTCTAGGAAAAATAGCGGTAATTTTTTTTCCATTTCTATTAGTCACAATTATTGGGTGAATCTTCTGTTGAGTCTTCACTGTGATCATGCTTTAGTGTTTTGAGTGGGACAGGGAGATGTGCTATTTCTTATGTGTTCACTGTGATTTATCTGTTTACATTCCTAAGGAAATAGCTTTCATTAAAAGTTGTATCATAAATCATAAATAGGCCTTAGTTTACAGAGATCAAGCTTGTGCTGTAGCATTTTAATGGTTAAAATAATTGATGTCATAGATCTGCTTATAAGACACAAATTGCCCTTGTCAAATATTCAGAAACATCCCAGTTTGCAATTTTCAGGCCCACTGAAAATCTGATGCCTGATTTTTAGAGTCACCGAGCAACCACGTTGAGTATTGGGTGTTCAGAACTCGTTTGACAAAACCACCTAAAATAACAAAAGCTGACATCAGAGTATTGTGAAATTATATTTTGTAGGAATTTGCAGATAAGCATTTCCCTTAGTAACTGAATAGCTGTATTTTTTTTATTTTTTCTTAAACTGTGGAACTAAGTTACCTGGGAAGTCTTACATCTTAGCTTTGCAAAATCCTAAGAGCAGCCCAAGAGCACCTGGGGGTAATGGAGAAAAGGGTTTGAGAATGTGTCCCCTGGAAGCTTGGCTTTACTTAGAAACTCAGAAAGTACTTGAATGAGGAAGACTAGTATTTGCTGTAGCTGTGGCAGAGTTGAGTGAGTGAGCGAGCCACCACAGAGGGATTTCAGGCCCTGCTGTAGTGTGTAGTTGTTACCTTGTGACGATTACTTGGCTGTTGTGTCATTATTTGTGAGATACAGTGGGTACACGTGTGCCGTCTTGGGTGAAGATGGGATAATTTAGTTCATATTTACAAAGTACTTTGAGATTCTTCATGTGCTCCTAAACTGCAGAGTGTGTTTTGTTTTTTTTTGCTTTGAACTAAGAAATCATCTGGGAAAGGAAAAAAAAATCAGTAATTATGTCTTAACTGTATTTGTATACACATGAAAGTAACTTTGAGTACAGGCTGTGGAAATAATGCTTAAACGTAAACCTATTGGGAGATACTAGAATTATTTTCATTGAGAGTGTTTCAGGAATACTGACAGTTACTTGTGTTTAGTGGTAAAGCACTACAGGTCATCTGCTGCATTGTATTGTATATTAGCAGTTGTGGTTTTCTGCACTGTATTTCTTTGTCTCAAGAAGTTTGGTAGGATAAATATAGTCTAGAAAGTACCAAGTTCCAGTGTTTGTGTCTTGATTAAAGTTACAGACCTGGTTTTGTGCAAACAAGGAGTCTTCAGACCTCAGATACTCCCATGTTTGTATGCTGGAGAGCAACAAAGCTCTGACAGCCTCCCTTGCCTGGTATCTCCCCTGGTGCTTCACATGGGCACCTTTCATGATTGTTGTGACTGCCTGCTGCAGAGAGGAGATGGTGGCTGACTCAGAGGCAGGATGTTGCAGTTGGTCCGTAGGCAGGAAACTGAAAACATTTGGATATGCGTTTCCTTTTGAGAAGACTGGTTCAGTGTGATAAGCGGTGGCTTTCCTCGTGCACTTCTGCAGAGGAGCTGAGAGTCTCAGCAGCAGATCACTGTGGATGTATTGCAGATATCTGAAATACCTGGACCTGATCAGAGCTGGAGTTAATTCTGTCCTGTCCAGCATTGGCAGGGCCCAGGCGGAGAGGACTGTGGGCAGCTCAGCTAGTTGTTGAGCAGGGCTTCCTCCCTTTTTCTTCATCTCTTGGCTTTTGTTACACAAAAATGATTCTTCCTCAGAAGCCTCTCAAGAAAACTTTTAATGATGAACCCATCCTAAAGAAAGGATGACTTCCTTCTGTCTTCATAGTGAATGCAGAGGACACTTCAGAGACATAAAGCTGCAAATAAAGGCTGTCCTTATTTTCGTCTACCCACTTTTGAAAAGTCTTCTCCTCAGCTTGCAGGGATTTTCCATTTGTTTTTTAGCCAAATATTCTCTGGTTTAAAATTCTGCCTTACAGACGTCATGGCTGAGACTCAAATAGCTCAAGTTCAGATGAGATGAGCAGGACTTTGGGTAATTTGTGCATGTGCTAGGAGCGGTGTGCCCATGAGCATGAATCATACAGAGCTACTTTTTGCAACTGCTGTAAGAATTTTTACATGGCATTAGCTTTTAATTTTGAAATTTCAGCATCATCAGCCTAGAGATTATTCTCCTAGTGTTTTGGAAAGCAGCACAAGTCTGTTTTTAAAGAAAGGTGGAAGATAGTTGTGGTTATGATTGGGAGCCCATTCTCTTCTCAAGCAAACTGATGCTACTGTTTAATTGTAGGGAATAGTAGCCAGCAAGTGCCTCTCAGGAATGAAACAGAAAACTGTGAGACTTTAAAAAAACAGATCAATCTAAAGCCTTCCACGGAGAAAAAGATTAATAAAGGACCTAAGGAAGAGACTCCATGCTGTCCAAAGGAGGAGATTACTTCTTCTGAGGTTTGTATTGTGATCTTTTTATTTTTCAAATTTAAAATGATCTTTTTGTATATGTATGCACATGTAAGTATGTGCATAGGTAGGGACTATTAGGTGCAGTCACAGCTCTGAAACACTGTAAATCGGATGAATGAGGAATCATGCCAACATGCTGTCCCACATCCATTGTGTACTAATGCTGCTTTATAGAATGACGAACAGTTTGGGTAAAGATTAAAACAGCACTTGTTTTGTGATATTGGCCGTATTACGATGAGAGGTGTTCTTTACTATTGTCAGAGCAGGCACAAACATACTGGAAGCTAATGCCAGCTGCTAAGCCACAATAATGAGTGGGAACATACTCGGGAAGGGAGGTGTCCTAGGTGAGCGTCTCAGCCTTCGTTTGTAGACCTGATCTCCAAATACAGGGATTTTATCAGAAATTTTCATTTGGGAATATAGCAGGCAGAAGCCCCTTAACAGATTGTGATGCTGCTGAGAAGGATCATTCTTCACCCCTGGTTTCTGAGCATGATAAACACAGCAGACTGTGCCTTTGTTTCAGGCAGCATAAAACACTTGAAGAACTTCATGAGGTAATTAGTAAACCCAAAAATTTTGATCCTGTTTGTGTCCTGTCTACTGGATAGGAATCCCATGGCAAAAAGGTGTAAGGAGGAATTGCTTACCATGCTTGAGGAATATGTATCAGAAGAGACAGGGTATAGTCTTGTTTTGAGAACTGTTGTTACAAACTTCTTTCTGTGTGTGGCTGATGGTGCTCAGTTTGTTTCTTGCATTTTTTAAAATTAATGTTATTTGTTGGTTAACTTACCCCATAATTTCCTCAGTTGTAATTCAGATGAATGCATTCCCCCACCCCCACCCCCCCAGCTGCTGAGGAAAGGGAGGATTTATTGCTGCTGAACTTGCACACAAACTGTTCATAAATCTAGCAGATGTTTTTTGTTTTTAGCACATTGGGAATTTTATTGACTGCTTTCCTTTTTCTCCCCCTATTTTTTTTTTATTTCCGTGGAAGTCAAGGCTAGATGCTATGAGGGGGAAAATACTAACATTGGGAATTAAAAAATTTCTCTCTCGTCCTCTGTTGGTGTCTTGAAGGACAGAGTCTTGGAAAGGCTGGTCAAGTTGATGTTGCTGGAAAAAGGCTGTGCTGTGGAAAGGCACTAAATCATGAATAACTATGCATTTGGGTCTGGTCATTCTGCCCAGAGAGGTTTAGCTAGAAAAGTCCAATGGAGTTCATTTACTGAGGTAACTTCATTTTATAATGTATGTATTGTCTCAGCTCGTATTTTTACCTTTAGCAAGAAGATGTCTATAGGAAGAAGAAACCTCAGGAGAAGAAAGAAGGAAATGTACCAAATATGAATTGGAATAGAAATAGAACATCTAGAAAAAATAAGAAGAAGAACGTTAATATATCTACAAGGTATGTATTGCCTCACCAAATAATGAAGAAATACAGAGTTGCTGTAATGTTTCCACAGGTTTTTTGAGATTTGCATAGTACATTAGGCAGGATCACTTTATCTATTTAAATAAACACGCTTTAATCCTGGCCTGAGCCGTTATTTTTAAGAATGTACCCTACTAAGTATCAGCAGCAAAAAAGTTTTCCATTTGTAAATCTGCATGTATATAGACACACCCCATTCTGCATAGCAGTGGTCACTCTCTGTTATAGTCTGGAATTTGCTGTCTGAAGTTTGGATGGTTAGCTTCCTTTCCATTGTGTATTGTGTGGATAAAATTCAGTCATGTATTCTCTTCAGTGAAAAAAGGAAAACAAAATTGTTGAAATGATTCCACCTTCAGGAGAATCATCTACTATACAGAGTAACTGAGGGAATGTTGTCTTCTAGTAGTTTTGAAAGAAGAAGAAGAGAAATACATAGAAAAGAGACAGCGGCTTGCATTTTTGCCATAATGATTAAAAGGATTAGAGCAGCACTAGGCTCAAAAGAATACTGAGAGCACCTTGAGGAGTTACTTTTTTTCCACCTTGAGGTTGTTTAAATGCATGTGTAAAGTCAGCTGTAAACTACTGTGAATTATTTTTTCATATTTTTTAAATTTAAGTTATTTGGGTTGTTGTTAAAAAATACCAGTTACAAACTGCTGCTAGAATAGAAACACTTATGAGGAGAAAATCCTCCTCCTTTCCCTCCCCCATCCCTTTGAATTAAGGTCACGATCCTACAAAGCCTTCACAGACTTAATTTTTATTACGCATGGTCCTGTTGAGGTCAGTGGACTTAACAAGGAGACTGTAAATCTGAAGGGACTGTTATAAGTCATTACAAACAAATTACTGTTCATTGTGTGGGAAGACGGCATCAGCTGGGGTGGGTTATTTCCAGGGATGCCCCATCCCTGGAGGTGTTCAAGGCCAGGCTGGATGAGGCTTTGGGCAACCCAGTCTAGTGGGAGGTGGCCCTGCCCATGGCAGGGGGTTGGAACTTGATGATCTCTAAGTCCCTTCCAACCCAAACCATTCTGTGATTCTATGAAGTCAGCACATGTGTAAATCTTTGCAGGATGCACACCTTTGTAGGTAGGAAGGATAAAATAATTGAAGTGAAATACTGAAATCTGGTGTCTGTTCCCTGAACTGATCCAGCAGTTTCTAGTTTCTGAGTTAAGATTTCCTTCCTGTAAGTTAAGCCATTTCCTTCCTGTAGTAACTTGACAGCTGGATTTTGTTAATTTTCCGTTAATACTCTCTGATTATGATAGTGGATCTAGATATTTCATTTTTACTAGCAAAACTTAAGATTTCTTCAGATGATGGTTTTATTCTAGTTATAATTATGCCACTGTAATAGAGTAGGGCACATTTTTCTGTGTCTAGATCTTTGTACGGAGCTAGACAGTGCTTATCACTGTAACATTTGATTTGCTTCTGCAAATGTATTAGTGAATGGAGTTAAACATACACACGTAATTTTGCTTCACCCCCTGAGACGTAGTAGTCTGTGTGGTGGGATATTGTGTTCTGGGAAAGGTTTTTTAGGTTTCTGTAAAGTTGGGGAATAAGACTCCTAAGCCTATTCCTTGCTCCCCATCCTGCCTCTATAGCCATGTGAGTTGAAGTGTTTAACGCCAGAAAAGGAAAAATGCAGCTGAAATGTAAAATGCAAACATGTTTCTTTGGGTGTGGTTGTATTAGGGTCCCTGAGCAGAGTGAGTTGAAGCATATGTGCAGTGAATTTGAAAGGCCGGATCTGAGAGCGAATATTGGAATAAGAGCCTGGTGTCCTCAGGGTAACGGGGAAAATTGTAAAGCAGACCAGAAGACTGGGAACTTGTCTATACAGGGAGAAACAGGTATGCATTCTTAATTGTCTTAAACAGGGGAAGAAATTTCATGTGTTTTTGTGGCAGTAGAGCTGTATTCTTTTCTTGAGAGACTTTTGCTCCTCTCCCCATTGAACCCTCACATGAAGACAGCAGGACTGGCACGATGCATTGTCTGAATTAATAGCTGCTCACTTCTGAAGGGCTCCGCATGCTTCCTTCGAGGGGTTGGTTGGTGGTGCAAATCAGAAGAGAGATCAGTCTGATGCTGTAATCCATCATTCCTGGGTGAAGGACTGCCAGTCTGCTTCTGCGTTCAAATTGCAGCCAGTATTAACTGAAGTGGCTGCATTGCGAAGGCCACCTTTGGAATAGGCACCTTGTGTTCAAAAACCACCACTAGCTTGGGTACCTGCTTCCTGCTTTTCCGTCAGCATTTTAAGCTGCTGTTTTAAGAGGAGGGCTGAAGAAGGTATCCATATTTGTAGCATTGTCCTTTGTCTCCCTGATGAGATAAAAAAGGAGAATCTATCACTTGTGAATTGATCAATTGCAACATTTGTCATTGCTTTTAGTATGCATGTTCCTATAGCACATTTCATGTTTAAAATATTAACTGTATTTCAAAGAACTTCCTATTCAAAGGGCTTCCTATTTCAAACCACTGCCTCTAACTGCACTGCATCCTGACTTGTGTTCATTGTACCAGGGATGTCATGTAGGTCAGAAGCTTCTCATGGCAGGGGCTGGCACATTTATCTTGAGGCTATCAGTAAATATTATTTTCTGTCCTATTGTCAAGAAATTCCAAGAATCCACATAAGCTCATGTTCCAGGTGACTTTTCACTGAATCTTCATCTGAAAGACTTTTCTTAAATGTTTTCTCTTGTTTCGTTTTTGCAACTTCTTTAGAAAGCTTTTATCAACGGTCCAAAAAGAAGTGTTTGGAGAAGTTTTGTTCTGATTCAAGCTCAGATTGTGGAAGTTCATCGGGAAGCGTTCGTGCCAGTCGGGGGAGCTGGGGTAGTTGGAGCAGTACCAGCAGTTCGGACGGAGATAAAAAGCCCATGATTACTGCCAGGCACTTTCTTCCATCCAGTAAGTTCTGCAAATATCGTTTCTGCACTGTTCTGTGCAGAGTTTCAGCCTTCCTTCTGAATGGAAAGGGGGTACCGTGGTATGGGGCATGTAACTTGCCTTTTGTAGATGAGAGCACCTCTCAAAAACACAAGGAGAGATTTAAGAACTTGTTACTTGAAAAAAAGTAACAGAAGTTCTGTGGAGAATGAAGATGAGTTGTCAGGCTACAGAGAATGTGTCAGACTGCACTGAGGAAGCTGCACAATTACTTTTCATTGAGAGACGGAAGAACTGAGAGTCACTAGTCAAAGCATTTTCTTCCATTGAATTTATGTTATGTCACATCATGTTCATAAAAATACAGTTGTTTTGTTAGAGTTATTTAAGAAAATGCACAAATGAGGAATGTGTGGAAGCAGTTCAGATCTGAGGACGCTGGAATTGGATGGCGGTATTCGAGGCATAAGTAGCCAGGAGATCTGAGCCTCTTGAGTATAAGAGAAATGGGAACTGTGGTTCATAACTGCAGTTTTTTGAATGTCTGAATATCATTAAAATAGTTTAAAGCCTAAACCCTGTCACCACCATCACTGTCCAGATTGATGTAGCACTAGAAATAAATTTTAAAGAAAGTGCTGAAGTGACACAAGTAAAACCAGCTTTGAGTACCTGAAAAAAGCTCTTTAGAATAATTTAAAAATGTGCATGTACTTACATATATATATGTATTTATGCATGTATAAAACTTAACATTACCAAAAGATACAGTATGTGATGTATCTGAACCTGTGATCTAATTGTGTGCACATGACTTTTCTGTTTGTTCAAATTGTAGTACCTCTTAAAAAGAAAAAAAATAAGTCATTTGAAATTTAAAAAATTCAGACTGTGGTAATCACTTATAAGTCATTGTCCTGGTTTTGGCTGGGACAGAGTTAACTTCATAGTAGCTGGGCTGAGGAGAAGGCTGATCACATAGTGATGTTGGCAGTTGCTGCCAGGACAGTCGAGGGCTTTTCAGCTTCTCTGCTGTGCCAGTGTCTGCAGGGGCAGGAGAAGCTGGGAGGGAGCACAGCCCCAATTACTAGCCTAGGATTTGACTTTAGGTTTAGGATTGAGACCCACATTGGGTGGTGTAAAACCACAACAGTCATCAAATACATTTAAGACCATGTGGAAGTAGATGGCATGCTTTGGAATAAATGCAGTTAGTGATACTCCAGTCTCTGAGAGAAAACTTGATTAACACTATTGATGAGTCTATTTGTGTGTATGTATATTCTGTGCATACTTCTTTTTGTAGTATCTTTGATTTTCACAGTCATTCTTTTCCTTAGGAGAGAATGTTTCACAAAATGATTTTCCATCTGAAACTCCTATCACTTTAAATCTGTCTCATAACATCTGCAGTACCAGGTAAAAAATTTGAATCTACACCTGTAAGACATTAAAGAAACACCACCAACTTGAAATCTTGTCTCATTTTGATAAATTGCACCTACCTGTTGTCATTTTTTGTGATCATCTAATTGCACTTTCTAGTTGGAAGAAGAATCATCTTCTTCAGTATGTGAAAAGATATATGCAAAATGGATTATGCTGGGGAAGTGCAATAAGTGCCTCCAAATGTAAAATAAAATTGGGGAAAAAAGGAAATTATTTTTCCCCTCTCATTTCTTCCAGATCTTAGCAACTTATTACATTTCCATTAGCACTCAGTTATATTAAAGCAATAATTTTTTTAAAATAAAAAGGTGGGAGTGAGACTTTCAAGTTGATGTTATTCTTTTAATGGGAATAATGTTCTCCTAGGATATACAGCATGAAAATTGATTCCCCCCACCCCCAGATTCCTTTCTACCTCTTTACTGTAGTAGAGATAGCATCTACAATTTTTATTTCTGAGTCCTCATTTCACTTCTCATTCATGACTTCCTGTTTTCACTAGCAGAAATAATTTAATCCTTTTCCTCTGGGATTCTGGTGCTTGAAAATATTCCCTTTCCATTCATATTGACTAGTTTCTTTGATGGGATTAGACAAATGTGAAATTGGTGTTCATGTGTGCCTATGTGTCTTCATAGACATAGAAGTAAACTTGCCTGAAAGTTGTTGGAGCACTGAAACATTGTGAGAGATCCTACTCATCTTCATGAACTATAGCTTGTTTTCCAATTTTAGAGAAGAGCTGTTGAATTAATTTGCAGTAGGTTGATACTTGGATAATAAAAGTGGTGTCTTTAAGATGTAGTAATTTTATTCATTTTGCATGCGTAATAAGTAGCTGGCTTTTAATTGGGAAAAAAACGAAAAAAGTTTTACAGTGGCAATTCAAAATAAGAAAAATCAGGAAAGAAAGTGGGAAAGTAGTAGCAATCATGATGTTCATTAGAATATTTTCTGCATTTCTATATTTCCTTTAAAATACTTTGGATTATGGAATATAACTGTGTCTAGACTCAAGAAATTAAATTTTCTTTTCATTCAGCAGAGACATGAATGGCATCCCCCAATATCCTGAAACCTTGTGTCCCAACTTCACTGACATAGCTGCAGATCCTGACAAAAATAAAGGTCAGTTACTTTTTTAACAACTGAAGTTGGTTTTGCACACTTTGTCAAGCACTTTCACTGATGTTGCCAATAACACTGGTATACACCAACTTGATAGACATGTTGTTATGAGAACTTGGTTTACCTCTAAACAAGTTAAGAGCAAAGTTAGCAAACAAAAACTTATAGCCTTGACATTTTTTGCTGCATCTTCTCTGTGTGAAGACAGCATTTAGCTTTCAACTCACCTTTTAGGTATTTTTTGCTTTTTCCTCCTCTTGCTTTGCAGAGATTTATGTTCAAGTACTGTGGCTGCGAGATCAAGAGCACTGGTTGCTGTGTTAAAAGGAAGCTCAGTATCAGATCAGATATGACCCTTTTTCTCTCTAAATTTCCCTAGTTGGGACCCGTTCTCTTTTGAAAGCCATAATAAATGAAGTTGGGTTGGGCTGTTGAAACTCTTGAGTTTTCATTGTTTGTATCTCAAAGGGAAGTAATATTAACTTGTTGAGTGGGATTCATAAAAGCAACAGGCTACATGGTGAGGTGGAGTTTGAAAGCTGGTTGGGACACGTGTGGCTGTCTCTTCTGCTGTAGGTTAACCTGTGTCTGGTAGGATACAAATGCTGATTAAACTTTGTCTCTGGTAGCAATATTCATATTCTCTGTCATGTGAAATGAAGAAATAGAGCCAACTTTGCAACTGTTGTCTCATGGAAACTGCTAATTTGTATTTTTTCCTTTCTCCAGCTGCTTGTTCTCACACAGTTGATAGGAACCAAGTATCTGTGGGCAGTCAGGGCACTCAGTCCTTAGAAACCAGTACGATGAATATCTGCCCCAGGGGCTAAATATGGCCCTAACGAGTTCATGCATTGTTCGGTCATGAATGGTTCCAGTCTATTCAAAATCCAACCCTGTTATCACTGCATTTGGGTGGTTGGACTTCAGAGATGGTTACTGACTGATGGGTGGAGGCGAGGAAGAGGCTGGTGGAGATCACATCCCTGCTGTCTGTCCTGCTGCGAGGAAGGGTGCTGCCTTGGCGCTGGCAGCTAATGACTTAAAGACTCTCTGTAGGATTTTCTTGCCCTATTCTGTTGAATTTCAGCTTCCCAGTTCAAGTCTTTTTATACTTTTTTTAAACAAATAGAAATTTTGAGATTTGTTTAAAGAAGGATATTAATCACAGAAAAAAAAAAAAAAAGATTGGTTAGTAACTGGATTTTTCATCTAGCATACAGTCCTCATTGAAGATCTGAGACTAAAGTGTCATGATATCATGGAGCCTCCTTTCCGTTGTTCTGCATTTCATTCCCTTTTCCTTTTTTAGGTCTTTACCCAACAGGAGACTTGTGGCCTGCACAGCCAGTCTGCCTGACAAACAGTTTAAACTACAACCTTGAGAATAATATACCGTGCATGATCCAAGAAACCCCCTCTGTTCACAACAGGCAAGTTACGGTTTATGTAAAGAGTGCGGATAACGCGTTGTTCAGGTTTGTGTGCACTTGAGCTTGTCTTACAATGTTTGTAAGGCAGATGATAGTTAAAGTAAAATTCTTGCTGTCAATTCAGCCTTAGTTCTAGTTGTTTATGTTGTTCCATTAGTACATCATGATTAATTTTGCTAAGACAAATTCACTGGTGTTCCTGCTCATATTTAGATATTCCACAACTTCTTTCAAATTTAATTAAATAGTTTTTGGAAAGCTTTTCGTTTCTTCCACTTCTTTTGCATGGCTGGACAGAGGGCCTGGCTTTTAGGTTCATTGTCCTCTTGCTAAATACATGGCTTCTGTATATCATGGGATGTGTTATGCAGTGTGTACTTGTGTTAAATGGCATGAAGAACCAATGAAGGGAAATAGTTCAGTCTGAAGGTGGTGTAAGGATACAAGTTGGTCTGACTTTCAGACTCTGTGTAGATTTGGGCTGATCTTCCTGTAGTAATGAACTTGAGTAATTCTTGTACTTTGGACTCCCGACACTGCGAATTTTACTGATGAAAGATGCACCACAAGATAGTGAGAAGAAATACTGTGCCACCACATAGCAGTGAAATACTCTGACAGTTCTTCAAGTCGTATCCTGCCATCTGAAATGACAAAGTGGTAAAGCAGAAATCCCCAAGCGATGGTCTTGTGATCCCAACCAACCTGCTGACCTCAATTCTAACTGTAATGTCAACAAACTGCAGCCCTAATACCTGGAAGCAATGGCCACTGCTCTTTCCAACTCTTCAGTTAGATGAAATGTATGATGATTTGTGGCAGACTCTGTATTATGCTACTTTGCTTTCATATGCCCAGCTCAATTTGGACTTTGTATACAAAAATACATGTAATTATTCATATATAGTAGTGGTAACTTACGATTGCTTCTTGCCCGAATTGTAAAACTGCATTAGCACAGCTTCAGGTGATATCCTTTTATACGCCTACCTTGTCCAGACTGGGTCCAGACTTGGACTTCTTCAAGCTTTCTGCATAGAAGGGCTTGTTTCACTGCTGACATATCTTTAAGAATTATTTTTGAAAAGTCTTTTTGAAATTCTGAAATTATTTTAATTAAAACAAGTATAACTCCTACAAATCAATGTGTAGTTCAGAAAACATATTGTTTAACAGGACTTTAACACATGTGGTAGGGTAAGTAGAAATCTCCTTTTTCATTACTATTCTCAAGCATTCAAATGCTTCAGAATGTGTTACATTTTCTTCAATTTCAAATCATGTTGTTTCACTTGATATCTACCATTTCCATGGTTCTGGGAAACAAGTACAATTATTTTGTTTTTACAGAGGAAGAAGTTGAACCCAGTTAGGCGTTGCAGGACTCTGGTAGCTGTCATTACAAGTTGTTCATCCTCTCAGAGGAAAAAGAGCTCAGTGAGAATTGCTGTGATTACGTAGTGGCACCGAGTAGATGCTGGCAGAATTGGCAAGTGGAATGTGAAAGGCTTCATGATCAGTTACAGACATTTTGCATCCAACAGCTTTACATTAAATAAGTATTTCTAAATAATTTGCAGAAGTTCTGCAAATTGTTTCTGACAGCAGATTTTTCTTTTTCTTGGGACAGCTTCATGGACTGGAATGCAGCTTGCGACAGCCAGTTTTCCAACATGTATTGTCCACTAGAGATGAATGAATATGGTGCTTTCCCAGAAGGTAAGATTAAATAAAGCTTATGAATTATCACAGAACATGGTTTTTTCTCTCACGTTTTGTAGAACAGAAGGCTGAGCTTGTCTATAAACATCTGGGTGTTCATTGCTTAAGTAGACTTTAGAGTTTTCAGCTGACTGGGTGCTCTGTTGTAATGAAGTGTCTGCATGTGGTGGATGGGAAGGCTGATCTTCATATGGAGTTATTAAGCCTGAAAAGCCAGCATACAGGACTCCGAGAGGGAATAGAGAAAAAAAATGCGCGTGACTACAGTATTACACAAATCTTTTTGCACAATTTTCTTTGTTTCCCCTCTGGCAGGCTTCTGCCTTCCAGTGTGTGAAACAGAAGGCCTCTTGTGACCAATTACCTTTCCAGGCTAGAGTTTCTTGGCTTGGGAAGCATGCTGGCAGCAATCTAGAATTCTTTAGCATTACCTAAGCAATAATTAAAGGTCAGGCTACAGTATCGCAGGCAGCACAGTGATCCCTTGGGTGCTTAGAGCTGAGGCATGTTGGCAGCGAAGCCTGGGTAGGCTCTGCCATGCACGTTCTGTGGCTAATAAAGACTCTGTTCTCCAGTAGAGAGATTGCCAACTCTTTATCCCATCCTCCTGATAGCAATTTGTTAGTGGGTCTCTAATACAGAGTGGTAGTCTTGTTAACAGAAGTTGTTGCGCCTTGCCGCTGTGCTGCCCTGAAGTCACTGAAGGCTTAGGTTGGTTCCAGGCTGGCTCATTCTGAGAAGGTTAAATTTTCCTCCACAGGAATGTTAGTATCGTTTATATTGCAAAAGCCCTATTTTGTCTTCCTACTTCTATAATCTGCAGAAAATATGAACTACCCCAGTGGCTTCCCGGGTACTGCAGCAGTGCAGAATACAGCCTTCATTGACCAGAACTGTCCCTCAACTTGGAATGCGCCTCCCAACATGCCACCTGCCTGGGAGCCCACCAGTTACATCAGCTCCACAGTGAGTACTGTCACTGCGAGGCTCTGCCTTCCTGTGCCTCTTCAAAGCCTTCCCAGTGCATTCCTTTCTTTTCCTTATCTGTTGCTCATGCCTTCTTCATGAATCCTTTAAGTCGCCTGTGATGTATGTGTCTGATGCTGGCATTGGTAGCCTGGCTTTTTCCCAGCTGTTGGTCAAGGTTGTTACTGGACCTTGTCTGTGAAAGTTTTAAGACAGATCTTTTCGCCTGAAAATGGATTAAAATCATCTTAACATACGGAAAAACATTTTTACTTACATAGTCTACTGAGACTTCTTCCTATCAAAATCAGCCTTTACAGATGAGAGTGAAACACAGAAAGTGCTGACAGCAAAACCCAAAGAGATTTGGAAATTGTAAAGGTGAATGGACAGCTGCTCTCAGTGACTTTGACAGGTTTTTTTGCTAGGAAATCCAACTGATTTAAGCTGGATTTGTGCAAATTTATGAATGCTGACTTTGACCTGTTACACTCTAGACTACACTCTAGACTAGCCGTGTTTATGTCATCCCATAGTGCAATGTAGTGACTTCAGTTCAAGGTGGTCTTTAATTGTAACCACCTTCTCTTATGCTCATATTTCAAAATCTTCTGGTTGAGAATTTTTTTTTTTATTTGTGGTGGGTTTGTTTTGAATAAAACTAACAAAATAAAGCAAAAAATATTTCCAACTGCAAAAGCGAAAATTCTGCTGTGTTAAAAAATGGCAAAACTGGTAGAAGACTGTTTCCTAAAATAAAAGTGGCTTTATTTCATATTTTATTTTTTTTTACAGAAGGTAGAGATTGGAAAATACATTAGATAATTCAGTTCATTTCCCTGGCGAGCTTTCCCCCCACAATACATTTCAGTGTTTCATTCAGTTTTAAAAGTCCCAGGACTTCCATGACCTTCTCCGAGAGACTTCCTCACAGGCTAACACATCTTGCCTCCAGGAGGTTCTTTATAAGCTTTCAATATTTTCTAACTAAATTCCCTAGCTCCCAATTATAGTCTCTTTTCCATACTGAATATCCCTCTCTGCTCCCGGCATGCGTGGTCTTTCAGTACTGACATAAGTTTCAACCTTTTTCTTGTCGTTCCTGGGCATGCTTCTCTCTTAATTTTAACTCTCAAAACATTCATGGTGCTCTTCATGTGTCTTCCATTTCTCCCTTATTTTTCTTAACAGCCTGACCAGAACTGAATATTGCGTTCCTGTCACGGTCATATTGATACTGTGCAGGGAGGAGCTCATATGGCTTCATTTAGCCAAGTGCCTTTGCACACACACCCACACACACACCCCCACTAATGCTGCTGTAATATTTTCAGCAATCATATTGCTTTATAAACTCATGTGCAGTTTTCTCCTTCTCTGCGTAAATGCTGCTTCCTCCCATTTAGTACTACATTCCCACTTTTCTTTAGCAAATGGTCCATTTTGCAGTTTCCTGTGCTGACTTTATCTCGCCCTACAGCCCTACCTCTCAAGCACCCGAAGCTTGTCTCCGATGTCTGGACTTTTTGGTTCCATCTGGGCACCTCAGAGTGATGTTTATGAAAGCTGCTGCCCCATCAGTGCCACGACCCAACACTCGACGCACGTGGAGAACCAGGCAGTTATGTGTAAGCAGGAATACTATCCGAGGTTTAACCCCTTCCGTGCCTACATGAACTTGGACATATGGACTACAGCAGCCAATCGAAATGCAAATTTCCCACTTTCGAGGGACTCGGGTTACTGTGGAAACGTGTGAAGGGAATTTGATTTAAAAATGTGAATAAAGATGCTTGCAATTTTGATTACTAGAGTAAGCTGGTTGTTGAATAGATTACAATGTTGGTGGATATTTTGGCACTTTTATATTGAAAATAAATTTTTTTTACTGAAGTCTGAGCATTCAGTGCATTTTAAAAAGTAAAGTGTATTCAGGGCCCTGTTATTGCCAGGTGAAGACTGTAAATTTGAAACTTAACATTTTTTAAGATAAGGGCAGAATTACATTCTTAAAAGCATCCGTGAATGTGTACTGCACATATTTCTTCTGAAGTGTACATTCTCTGGTATAAACGAGGAGTGGTTTAGCATTTGTAGGTACAAACTCACACCCGTAAGTAATCACATCTGTACCAAACAGTAAGACTGGGGGTCTACCTGTTGATGCAGATCAGAAATTTTCCAAATGGTGCCACTTCTACTGCTGACATAGTTGTTCGTGGGTGTTAACTTCTGGCACTAGAAAAAAGACTGAATTGTGGCTTGTTTATCTGGCTTCAAAATGCAAGCTGTCACTTGAACGATGTTATGCTTGTGCGGTGTGGGTGAGTGGGCATTTCTTCCAGGAGCTTTTCTTGCGAGTGACTCCTGACATTTTGTGTTTATATTTTTAGCTTTCACATTGCAATAGCATTTTGAATGCATTTAATTGCCCATGTTTAAAATGCCAAAGATTGAACTGGAACAAATATGTCTTTGAGAGCAGAGTTCACACCACTCACCAAAACAGAACAGCATTGTGTTAGCTTGTGTTATGAGACTGAATCTCTGCAGTGGGAAACGCAACCAGGGAAGTGCTGCCACCCACTTTGGGGCTGAATCTTTCCATAGTGCAAACTGTCTCTGCTGACTGTTCCCCTCGAGCCCTTTGTTCTGGCGCGGCAGAGCCTGTCTGGGCATCTTTGCTGAGGTGGCAGAAAAAGGGGAAGGCACCTCTTAGATTCAGAGATGTCCTCAGCAAGGGGACCTGTTAAGCCTGGAGAAAGAGAGAGTAAAGGCGGATCCACCTGCAGCCTTGTGCAGCTGCTGGAAGGAGAGCTCTAAAGATGGCAGAACCAAAGCCTGTGTGGTGGCTGCGGGCGTTGTGGCAAGTGGCAGTGGTCAGAGGTTGCCACGTGGGAGTTTCAGGTTGAACATGAGGGACTTCCCGCAGGGGGGTAGTGCTGCAGGAGAAGGGGTTCCCCCTGAGGTGCAGACAGATCTCCATGCTTGGAGGTGTTGTGACATGGAATGAACAAAGCTGTAGTAGTGGTGGCAGTCCTGCTCCTCATGGGAGGTCGGACTAGAGACCACCAGGGTCCAGTCACCATTTTGAGGATTTTGAGCAAGTTCCTTACTTTTTGCTACTTCAATCGTTTTCCTCTTGCCCTTTGAACTCAGACTGACTGGAAGACTCTGTTTGACAACAAAATGTTGAGGCTTTCATATTTGTTTTTATTTGAAGGCAGAGCAGATGAGGCACTGCAAAATAGCTGACAGCCTGTGTGCAAGGCTGCCTGGCAGTCTATGGTCCCAGACTGAAATTCTGGCCCCACCAGTCTCGCCACGTTGCTGAGCTATCGGACCAGCTCCTCTGACCTGCTGGTTCCAGCCAGAAATGCCATCCCCGGTTGTGAAATGTTTCACCAGAAGCAGTACGCTTCTGCAAAAAAATTGTTTCAGTAAATCGACAGTTCCTGCAAAGAAAGCTTTGCTGAAAGATACCCTACCAGCTCTGCTTTCCTGTGCGTTGGAGTTAGCTCCGAAGGAGGTCGCAACTGGGTGGGATACTCAAAAGTGGCTACATTTACCCTCTTTAACTGCTCATGTGGAAGGTCCTCCTAAGCCTTCCTTGGGTTTTGATGTCAGAGAAGTGGGACTGTCACTGAATGCTTTTCAAAACTGTGGTGTTTTCATGGCTTGATCAGGAACTAGCACCTGGAGCCTTTGGCTGCTTTCCGTGATGCATTGTGCTGGGTGGGAATCTGTGTGACTGTGGAGTTTAATCGTAATGGCTTGTCATTCTGAAGGAATTTTCACATGTTCATATGGAACTTTCATGCTCCTGGAATCAGGGCTAAACTGTGAGAAATAGTCATGCCCACTGACAGGCTTTCTATGCACCTCTTGTCTATGGTGGGAGGCTTCAGGAGGAAGAGAGTGGGAGTGCGAACACAATAAATATGGAGGGGAAAAAAAGTGATAATTAGGTTTGAAATGCAGTGAAGTTCTTTATTCCCTGGACAGTGGTGCTTGTTTTATAGCATGTTTATTGAATTTTGGACATGCAAAGGCACAGGAGAGAAGAGAGGACATGCAAAGCTGTGCTTAGTTACCTTACCAAGCTCATTCTTTTAATTCTGTTAATTGTTTCAAGGAGTTGTGTATTTTCTGTGCACTGAAGTGAAGCTTTTTCTCAAGATCCAGTGTAAGGAGATGCTTTTCTTATATCTGCAACAAACTGTAACAACAACAAAATCCCCTGGAGTTCTGATTGTCACCCAGTCCCTGGTTGTAAGTAACATGCATGTTCCAGACAGAGTAAGTCACTGAAAAAGAGAGAAAAAAAAACATGTAGTAAACCAAAAGATACTGGAGAGTTCAAGGAGAGCAAAAAAAGTTAGAAATGTTTGGAAAAGAAGACCTCTGTAAAAAAGTTGGTCAGAGTTGTTAAAGTGCCAGCAAAAGACAAAGGAAAGTCACAGACAACTTGAGAAATATTGCTAAGAAGGAAAACAATCATTCCCTTTAATCAAACCAGAACAGATCGAGATAATTTCCCCCTTCCCCCCCCCCACCCCAGGGATCACGGTCACAAAACCGAACAAAATGAAAAAAATTCCCCCCTCCCCCCCCCCCCAGCTGTGTAGTATTGGGCAAAGTATTTCATATAATGTTTCATAACAATAACTAAGGAATGTAACAAGCTCATTAAGGTTACCAGGAATAATTGCTGCCATCAGGAGACATCTGTAGCTTAATCAGCAATCCACTGAATGCAAGTGGATTTGATCTCAGTTAAAAATCATTCAACCTACGGTAAAGGGGAAGATGAAATTAATAATTCCCCTTCAAATTTCTTTGTACCCAAATGGCTGTAATCCTACTAGGGTAAAACTGCAGAGGTTCCTCTAATGACATCTCATTGTCTTCACTTGATCTCTCTGAATCTGGTAGTGGGATTTTTGGGAACTTGAACAAAAGAAGTTCTCTGTTAACCCAAGAGATGATTAAGATTGTAAAGGGAAAAACAAAAATACTGGTATAAAAGCAAAATACCTTGCACAGTTCACTAGTAGGGCTGGTTATAGGGGAGGGGGAAATAATGTGTGGTTTCAATGTTTCAGTGTTGATTTCTATCTCAATGCAAATACTATATAAACTCAGGAGGATCAGTGTTTTCTTGAAAAGAGACCTGAGAGAAGTGACAGCACCCCTTGTCCACTCTCCCAGTGGGTTTGTGGCTTTTTAGATGTGCTTTGGGAACTGGGAGTACCAAGTTATCGCTGTCCTTGGATCGGACACATGGGACATCTTGGCCAAGCCTGCCCGATTTCTCCATAATTTCCATCCAGGAGCCACCAGGGAACATTCCTGGCACATTTTGTGAATGTTTGTAGGTACTATGAGAGATAGCATTTGGACAAAGCCAGCATCTACGGCTGGGGTGTTGGGGTGCCATAGCCTGGCCGCACTGCAGCAAGCCCCTCACTGGGGCTGGAGAGCTAGGGGAAGAGGAACATCCAACACAGCTTCTTGGTAGGAGAGGGCAGCGCTCTGCTGGGACTCTGGTTCTTGGTAAGTGGGGCTGGTCTGGTGTTGAGCAAACAGCTTGCTGATGCACTTGCAGCAACAAGCACTGGAAGCTCCAAGGGCAGCTGAGATCTGATTGCCAAAGGGCAAATGAGGTCATTAAAGAGAATGTTAACTATTTTCATCTGCTGAAGGGGGTGGGAGGGGAGGAAGCAAGGGGAGGTGCTCACCACCTGCTCTGGGGCTGGCAGTGCCTTCAGTTTCAGCATCCAACTTCTCTCTGCCTTGGGAGAAGCCTTGGTGCTGCCTGGAGAGCTGCAGCCTCGGCAACACCGCAGGTTCCCGCAGAGCCGGCACCGCCATCCTGCCAGGTGAGCTCTTGGCTGGTCTTTATGGTGGCGGGTTGGGCGTTGGTTTCTGGCATTTGCATTCTTCCCTTGCAGCCTCAGGGAACACCCGGTGTTTATTTTACTTAGTCATCGAGTCCCCTCCATCTTCTTTTGCCCTCTCCATGTACTTGCTTTGCTTTCAGCAGTTTGTGGAAAAGGTGCACAGCAGCATGTCTCCATCACCATGGACACGTTTTAGTTGTACCTCTGATTCCTCTGCCCCATCTCATGGTTCGGTCTGCCCATCCTCTTCTGTGGGGGAAATCGCTCAGGGCAGGGCTTGTCACATCCTATTCTGCAGCCCTCTCGGGCGGGCTGAGGATCACTATCTCCCCTGGGCTGCTGTGCTGGCATGGCCGTCCTCTATCCCAGTGGCAATGCACCACTTGCCCTGCCTTTCTGATGGGCAGAAGAATGGCAGAGGTAGGTGTCCTAGCTGGAGAAGGACCCTGGCGTTGGATGGGGCAGTTCTGCACTGGAGGAGGCTCTGCTGGGTGAGACCCAGTGATGCCCCTGTCTCCGGGAGCTGGGGGGCACAGAGTAGTGAGAGGCAGCGGGCGATCTGTGCTCTGCCCCATCGTGGGTGAGTGACAAGAGTGGGGTGAGGATTTATTGTCCCAGCCCTACAAGGTGGTGCTGCACCTGAGGTCCTGGGAGATTGCACCTGCCTCTGCTGCTCATTGCCAATGCACGGACACGAGTGCTCTCCTGTTGCTGAAAGCTGAGTGTCACTGCTCCTCCCTCCATCTCTCGAGTGGGTTTCCCTGCACAAGCTGCCTGCCTGTGCCTGCCTGACAAAAATACCTCCTTTGTTGCTGTGTGTTGCACACTGTGCGTCTTGCTTTTTCTGTGACTTCTGCTATATGTAATTTCTTGGCTGCTTTCTTCAGCAGCACAGTCCCTAAAACTTTTCTAACTCCAGGGTTGCTTTGGAGGGTGGCCATTCCCGGCTGCTCCCCCTGGCTGTGCATGGGAGCTGCTCCCTGGACTGTT